TCACATGTATTTTTACAGAGCCAAAAAACTATCCAACTATCATTAATTATTTATATATAAGAAAACAAGTCATGGGACAGAATTATTTGGAAACATCTCCAAATGCAAGAGATAATTTAGTATGTGAAAGAAACATAAAGCATTTTGATTTTAAATGAACTGGAAAGTACAATTTATTTATATCTATTAGGAATATTCCTTCAATAACTTTGATGAAAAAAAGCTTTACAAACTATTCCCCAATACATCTTAGCTACTAGTTTCAAAGGAATGATTTTATAGTCTGTTCAGAGGTGTTCACTTTTAAATTTATGTGGACAAAAAAAATAACTACTACGCCTTTACCACAGGCTGCTTGTAACAAAGTGAGTAAAGATGCTATTCAAATGTTATACATGGAAGAATTACAAATTCTCTGCTTGAATTATGTGTTTTTTTAAAGCTTGAATGATTCATGAGTGAGAGTTAGGTACCTCAACAAACAAAACACCTATCTCTCTGACAACGAATAAGTAGAAATACTAGCCAACTGATAGAAACACATCTTTAATCAAAATAACTTTTACAAGTTTCTAGAAAATCTGGTTTGGAAGCAAAAAAGTTTAAGAAATTAGGTGATTCCAGACCTTGACATCCCACAGCAAATTGGTAAAACACACGGAAGTTGAGTGAGGAAAATAAAATACATGTTTTTCCTGATCGGAGGCTTAAAGGAATGTGTTTGAATACATAAAGAGAAAGAGGTAACAACCTGAAAAACAGCAGGAGTGTCTCTTTGAGCTCATGGCAGGTTTGATTTTCTTGGAAGGAGTTTTCTGTGCTTTACTCAGATTTTTTTTCACACCCCTGCTAACACAGTTCTGGTAAGTCTCCTCAAAGACAAATTCAGAGCTGGAATCTATATGAGAAAAAAAAGACAGTTGCCCATTTCCCCACTGTGAGAAACTGCATTGAAATGTGCAAACATTTATTAAAAACAAACACATTTGTTTTGTTTTTTTTTTACCTGTAAGAGTGACTGTTGCAGCGGTGGTCGGTGTGTCAGAGATGGGGAAGGAACACCCATTTTGCTTATGGGCGAAGAATACCTCAAAATTATTGTACTGCTGTTTGCAGAAGCCACAGATGTGAATATCTGGGCTTACCTCCACCACAACACAATCTCCTGGATTAACTAAAGAGGGCAAAGAACATGCAGCGTTAAACCAAATATTTAATTCCGTAACACAGTTTGAGTTTGTGACACTGACAGAAAGAATCGAGCACTATAAACACATTTTAAAGTGGCTGTTATAATCGAATAATAATTGAGTTAACAACAATTTTTCCTTGCCTTCGGTGTTGTATGTTGCCATCTTCGAGCTTGTTTTGTACAAAAATCAACTCATTTTACGTCTTGTCTGTGTAAACACGACATCTAATATAACTTTAAACTGTACAGAATAACATTTAGTTACTAAAAACGTAAATATCGAGACATTGATATCGTTGAAAAGGCGAGATACATCGTTATTTGGTTATCAATTGCTTTAACAGTTCGGCTATCTGACTTGAAGTTTACGACATAACATGTGCTTTACGGCATGCATTTCCAGGTTACGTTCCGCGTTGCTGTTAAGACTATGGGAAATTTGATTATCCACCCAAAAGAGTGAATGAAAAAGGAAACAAACAAACAAATAAAGTGCTGTATTCTGAATAAACAATTAAAACAAAATTAAAATCATGTCTATTATATTTAACCATTTTGATATTTCTGCTTTCACATTATAGTGGTAGAATGTAAACGGATGCAAAATCGCTTGAACTAGATATAAAACAAATATTTCGCATTAAAAAAAAGGAAACGAAATTACGCGGGATGACAAAATTAAAGAGTACATACAGAAAAACCAAGTAATCATAAAATCTTAAAAAAAACAATCCCCACAAGCCAGATTTGAATGTTTTGTTTAAGTGTGTTGTTCAACTGTGCAAAAACGGGACCAAAAAACGTTAGAGGCACAAGGTTAGGAAACCAATAGACATTCAGACTTGCTGATATGTGGAATTTACGAGCACCTGAAAGCAGCATTTTGTAAATTGGTCTAAATCAGTGGCAACTATTAAAATGTTAAGCGATTTTTTATACGATTGATACTACTGTAAAATGTTTACATGAAGTGCATTATTTTGGCAGTTTGATAATGTCTTTTAATACTGTAGACACATTTTAGAAATACAAACCAGCATCTACCCTAGAATTGCAAAAAGGGTTTAATGGCATATCCTGCAAGTCAAACCATTTTTAATACCCCAAATTAGTACAATGGAGAAGTTTTGTCAGCCCAAAGTTTTCTTGTTAATCCGATTAGTACTTACCTGGCATTGCCAAACTAAAATTTAGCACTTCAGATGGTTACGACAAAGAAAAGTGTTTCTCGTGTGTGAAAAAAAAAGCTTTCACACAGAGTAGTTATTGTAGGGCACGTAGATGTACACATTCAACCACTATCAAGTGAGAACAATTTACTGAGTCGTTGGGCTGAGCGAATAAGAATGCCTCTATCTGTGCCAGAGCAGTTGTGCTTGTGTGAATAAGCCATGAAGGTGATTGACACACAGCTCCATTTTCAGTGGCAGCTCCTTAACTGCCTGATTGCCACTGTGAAGCTTAGGAATTTCCTTACGCTGACTTTCCTACACTGGCAAAGGCAAAGGACTGATTCCTTCCCTGCTGAAACAGCAAATCCTACAGACAAGAGGGAGCGACACACACATATGGACATCGCGCACACACCACTGTCGCTGGGCCTTTCAGCGGCTGTCTGCATGAACGTGAGAAGTCGATTGTTGTTGTCTGTGAAGCACATTGTGCAAAGGCAGTTTGTGTAGTGCATATTTAGACACTTGGAAATTGGAATTGTCGACCGTACGAGCCATTAAAAAAGAAAGTATAGCTACAATCTGAAATACGCTATATTTTGAAGTACTATGACACTTGAAATGCCCGAAAAACGCAAATGAATTATTCAGACAAAAGAAGAAAAGAAAAAAGAAAAGATCAGTTGTGTGCTCACAACAGTTTTAGGATATTGTATGTATGTATCTAATTAATTGCCATTATGGAAAGATGGTTAGGCCAGCAGTGGCTGTATTTTGTCTAGACTATTTTACGCATGGGTTTCAAAGTAAAAGTATGATTCCTCTGGACGTAGAAAACCAGTTCAGGAATGATGGTTTTGTTGCTTTGCCTTCCTTGGCAAATCAAATGTGTTCACCCTAGCACAGTACTCAGATTTAAATCCTGTTGCCATAAAGTTCAGTCAAACAGTTTATTTTCAAGCTGTATATGCTATATACAATACCATATTTGATCATCAAACACAACTGATTTTACTGTAAAGAACAGATTTAGTTTTTTTTTTTAAGGATTTCTCCTCCACTATCAAACTAAACCTCAAATGGCCTGACGAATACGGTAAATCAATTTTACTTTATTATAAACATGAAATGTTAAAGATCTTCTCATTTAAAAAGCATAGTCAGAATGGTCTTTGGGTTTGAATAGTTAAATTTGACAACAATACTATCTTATTGAAAGTGGCAGTGAAAAAGTTGTATGACAACAACTTTAAGCTTTAACATTTATCTGATATTGACAATTTAAGTCATGTTTGAAAAATACTTAATTGCATTATGTATTGTTTTATGTACTATTACTGCTTAATCTTTTAATGTGGAAATCACTGGTCCGTCGTGAAATATCATCCACTGTGATGTTTCTTATACTTTAAAAGCTGCTCTTAAATGTGAAACACACAATTCCCCATCGAAGCATACAAAACAAAATACAGAAAGGGTTAATGGGACGGTTTAATGTTAACCCACCAACATCAGTTGAAAGCTGGCTAGTATGATCTTTCCTTTAGTTCAGACTTAATTATTTAGCTATATCTATGAGAGCAATTTTCACCTTAAATTATGTAGATTGCTGGAAATTTCCCCCTCAAGACTTCAATAAATAATTCCATTAACTGATTATTTACGCAGATTATTTCTTTCAGTGGACAGATTAATCAAATTAAACTTTTGGAATTCCAGACTCTTGATCCACACTCATCAGCACTTGGGGCATCATCGCTTTGCAAATGACATTTTCTCACATTTCTTTGACCGACCATTAAAATCCCTTTCAATATTTAATTAACTTTACAGATGCTATGCAAAGATCCAAATGACAACACTACTAAGATCCGTATTTGTGAAATATTTAAATATGTGCATATTCAAAACCCCAATTTCATAAAAGATTATGCAATTATCAACAGTTAATAGAAAAAGACAGTCAATTATTGGCAAACCTATACATTTATATTCAATTTGAAATACTAGAGAGAACACATCAAATTCTTAAAGGGAGATATTTCAATATTGAATAATTTGAAAGTAATATGAACTCATCCTGATTTGTGTTTTTAGCAACATCTATTTATCACTGCATTCCTTTGCCTTTAACAAAAATAATTAAGTAAAAACAGGGTCAGAAGACGGAGCCTATGGGTGTGAATTAGGGTTGGGTCTTCGTCAGAATCCAGCTGAAGGTAGCTGACCTGAACTATGTACGGCCGTTAACTTTGACAAATTTTCAGTTGGAGTTGTTTGTGACCTGTCAAAAATGAAGACAACCTAACAATGAGGACTGATTGTCAGGGTTGCAGCACATTAGGAAAGCATTCGATATGTGAGGCAGGACAGAGCAAAGCAAAAAAAACATGTGGGAAAGAGTCACTGGAGTCCACGTCTAAGTGACATTTGTCAACATTTGGATTAATGTTCGGGTAAATGACACCCTGACACTAATCCACAGGGGTTTTTGACTGTAATCCCCAGGGTGAGCTCAAACAGATAATGAGTGAATCCACCCCAAGACTGACTGCTACATGCAAGTTTCATATCCATATTGAGATTGTTGGACCAAGAAAAACATAGGTTATCCAATAACGATTTCAGAAATGAGATGACAATCTTTTACAGCTCTGACTTAGTAAAAGATGTTAACATGAAGAATGTTATTGGTGACAAGTGGATGTATGGAAGGACGAAAAAGTGTGTGCAAAGTATTCAGAGTATAACATTTATCAAAATAAGCAAGTCCACTAATGTCTCCCAGTCCTAATTTTAAAGCATGTATCTTTTTCTTTCATTCAAGACTTTCAGTGTATTCAGTGAGTGATGTAATGTTGCTCCTTTTCCCAATGAGACAGGGGCAACAATACGGGGGGAGTGCCTGTGTCACATTATTTTCCCCCCACTGAGGCAGGCCAGCTGCTTACAGTTGCTTAATGGCTACGAGCTGTCGCAAGGCATCAAAGCCCGCTGCCACACAGGAGCGGCAGATGCTTTAATTGCACAATGACTTGTAGGTTGTCAACAGCAATCATACCAGGCTTCCACCTGAGGGCACCCAAAGAACACGTTCTACTCACTCCGACTAACGCGGCTCTCAAAAAGCTGGCTGCTGGATATAAACCTGATCTCCCAGTCTCGCCTCTGTCCCAGACAAGAGCCACAAATGGATTCCTGGTCTCCTTTCATCTTAATGTGCTGCAAAGATCTGGGGAGGAAGGGTCAGACACTAAGCTGAGGACCCAAAAATGAATATATATATACATATAAAATATTTATCAAGCTTTGCTAACATGGGGCCTACTGCTCACCGTGCTGTGGCAGGTCATTGTGTGTAGAATTTAAGTAATTTAGCTCATTATTAATTTACGTTTTTTTTTTTTCTTTTTGCATTTCAATGCAGGATAATTTAACTGTTGCCAGTCCACAGAATACTATCATTAAACAAGAGGCAAATAAGTCTTTAAAACAATGTTCCAATCTGCTTCAACCTGTGTTAGTCTAGATTTGTATTAATCCTATTTGTAGAGACACATACGATTTTACACTTAGGCAAAGATTACATTGTAACTGTTTTGTTTTTCTTAATGAAGGAGTAAAAGATTCGTCTTGTTGGTTTGAGTCCTAAGAAGAAAAAGGACACACTCATGAATTCCTTTGGTCAACAGCTGCCATCTCAGCATCAAATAAAGCAGAGCCAAAGTCTGGCAACCGTCAGAAGCCTCTGACATGCCCGCTTTGTCATAAAAAAGATACTCTGTACACACTGCACACACTGCACACAAATACACACACACGCACACACACACACATAGACAAACAAGCCAGTGGAACCACTCCACACACAAAAGGCGCACATGCTCGCACGCAAATCAGCACATTGCCCTTTGTATTTGCTAACTGATGCAAATGATAAGACATATGAAGGGACATAAATGAAGACAACATTTTAACTTTATACTTTCTA